CCGCAGCCTCAATTTTCTCTAGTATAGATCAGCGTTGGCCACTTTTCCTCCTCCTCTATTCTCTCGGTAGGAGACCCCCCGTCGGGTCTCGCTCTTCGCTCCGCGCCTGATTTCGAACTCCTGACCCGCTCGAGCAATCCCCCGCCGTTCTCGGCCTCCTCAGAGAGCTTAGCGATCTACAGCGCATCGAGCCCACCTGCCTCCTGCCATATAGTCACACTCCCTTTAAAATATGATTGTTTAATGACTGCAGTGGTCGTCCCTATTGTGATGTATTGTAACTTCTTTTTCTTTTTTTTTTTGAGCCAGAGTCTCCGATTTGTTGTCCGCTGCTACGACTGTGGAGTGCCTGCTGGCGTAACCGCTAGGCTCACACCAACCTCAAGACTCCCTGGGCTCAACGCCGAGCTCGCTTTCCTGCCCTCCAGCCGTCCAAGTAGCTGGGCACACTACAACGGCATGCCCGGCCACCATGCCTGGCTAATTTTTTTAATATATATTAAAGTTGGGCCATTATCTGTCTTTCTATTTATAGTCTAGACACAAGTGGTCTCGCTCTTGCTCCAGGCTGGTTTTGGAAACTTCCTGACCTTTGAGCAACTCCCCCGCGGCCGCTTGGCTCCCCAGGAAGTGAGCCTAGGATTACAGGCGCTGAGCACTGCACCCCGGCCCTCTTATTTTATATTTTCGAACAAAGCACCCCGGCCTATTGTAATTTGTTTAGCTCATCTCCTATTACTGCACATCTGTTTATTTCTAATTACTTGACAATATAAACTATGTTGAAAAAAACAACTTTGTATATATCTTTGTGTACTTTTCTTATTCTTTTCCTTATAATAAATTCCTAGAGGTACGATTTTGTTCTTCTCTTTATGAAATCTGTGCACTTGGGTTATTTTTATCTTTTATTGTATTTTATTTTGTAGAAGTGGAATTTGAATTTCATACACTCCTATAAGCTATATACAAGAGTATTTATTTCAATACATTCTTTCCAACACTGGATATTTTAAATATTAATTAGATAGCCAAGAAAAATAGCATTTCATTGCTGATTTATTTTGCAATTTTTTGTGTTCATAAGGTTGGTCTATTGCTTCTCTCTTTCTT